GGAGACGTGCGAAGAATTTCAAGTGCACAATTTCAAATTCAAATTACATTCACTATTCTCCCTCACATACTTACTTGAACGTTTGAATGTTAACCTTACATATCAGTCTTTCCTCCTTTACATATGAGATTCAAATCCATCGTCGTTCATCATAATCATTGATTCTCTAATCAATTCTGATTCCATAACAAAATGGTTTACATTAATAAATAATTATCTATGGTTTATATATATATATATATATATATATATATATATATATATATATATATATATATATATATATATATATATATATATATATATATATATATATATATATATATATATATATATATATATATATAAAAGTTGTTTTTAGTAATATTTTATTATAATAAAATTTATTGCATTTTATCAACGGATTGAAAGAAAAAAAAAAAACTTTATTTTTTGGTTTTCCTACTTGGACGCCTAGTATATGATTTCATATGGAGTCAGAGAATTGGTAGAATAACAAGAATACACTGTTTATTTATTTTTTCCATAGATTGAAACACTAACTAGTTCAAAACAAACATGCTAGAACGGTTCCAGGTAGCTGAGGTCAACAGCATTCGCCCACGTTTAAATATTACACATGGTAAGTATTCCAAGACTTGTAAGTGTACATCCAACCCTTATTATTATTTCTTTTAATGTAGAAATTTAACAAGTGAATTAAGGGTCCGATTAAAAATTAAAAAAAAAAAATATTATTTTATAGAAAAAGATAATAATTACTATCGCTTTGAAAATAATTGGAAGAAATATTGTCTAAATCCTTTAAGTTATTTTAAAATAACAAGTTAGTCCTTTAAACTTTTTTAGTAACATTTTGGTCCTTTATGTTAACAAACGTTTGCGTCGTTGTCTTTTTTAAAATTTTCCATTACAAAAATGCATATGTGAAATAAACGGAGCACATGTGACATTTAGTAAAGATGAGTTGACATTGAAGATTGCTGATTTGAATTTTGTCTCGTTGTTTCTTATGTTTCTGGAGTTCAAAACTCTATAACTCAATACATTTCAAGAACACTCATGAGCTCATAAACACAAAAATGACAAAACTCTGAATCTCAATAATAAATTACAAACTTATATACTATTTGAACTGATTTTTTGCGCTAATCACGAAATATGTAATTAGTTTTGCGTTTGATTGTGTATTTTGATCGAATCGAACGATTTTTTATAATGTATTTCGTCCACTTTTTTTCCTGATTCTCATGAACCATAACTTGTTTGATAAATTTGATTGCATATTTGGATTCATGCTGAAAATCCAAGTCCAACAGTATATAATTTGTAATTTATTTTATTGCTTTTGTGATTTCCAGATTTTTGCTCATGAATATTGTTAAATATGATGAACATTTTGTTAGATTTATCTAACTTTTTATGGGCTACAATCAATTGTGGTTTAGAGAGTATAGGCAGATGATGGTGCAGGCTATTCATACTCGTTGATTCAAACCCTACAAGGTAAGTTATTCCCGGGGAAAAGATGAATTTCTTAGTCAATTCAAATATTAAAGATATGAGTGTCATCAGTGTGTCAAGCTAAACATTAATATAACAAAACAACAATGGAACTCCCTCTGTATCACGGTGAGCCATTATGTGTTTAACCATGTTCAAAACACGAATTCAAGATCATGGTTTCAGACTTCATAGGAGGATCGACGTTGACACAAGGGTTGATGCGTATATCAAGAATGGAGGATTGTCGTCAACACGAGGGTTAATGTGTATATCAGGAAGTGAAGATCATCATCAACACGAGGATTGATGTGTACATCTTATTGAAAAGTGCAATCAAAAGAATGTAACCATACTTTGGAAGTCTCTATTTCCATAGACATCTCCCGCCAAATATTTTCTAGCCTCTCATCTTCAGCATCAACCTTTGGATGAAGAAAAGAGTATAGATCAAGAAAAGAGAATCTTCTTCAACATGAGAAATATAACACATAGTACCAACGTTCGGGTGATGTTTGAATTATTTTATACCTGTGTCCAAACGTTGGAACGAAGTTATAAATTGCAACTACGTTGGGCACTTTCCATATTTTATGCTACTTGTTGTATATAATAAATTTAACTAACATAATATTTAAATAATAAAATATTATTTTTAATATAATATATTTAAAATAAATACTTCTAAAAATATAAAAATAAATTATAAATGGTAGTGTGAGCGTGTAGCAAAACAGTAAAACCCCACGAATTTACATTCCTTCATGTAAATCCATGCGGTTTAACAGTCCTTTAGATGACCTCGCTTATTCACACTACAAGGAGGGTAGACCAAGAAAGTAGGATTTTCTTCAACACGAGGATTGATGCCTAGACGAAGAAATGAGGTTTTTCGTCAACACGTCCCTCCCTTCTTGATACGAATCAACCCTCGTGTTGACGATGATCCTTGTGAGCCAACGAGGAAATGAAGTCGACACAGACAAGGGAAAATATATGAAGATTATTATATCTTTTTTGAATGCAAATTCTACTATCATTGTTTATGAACCTACTGAAATTAACACTTTTATGCTCTTACAAAATATTGTGTCCAACTCTTCATTTTCTAGGGGAGTTATTTCCTCCTCTTTGGGCTCTGCTATCGGCTTCAGGATCACAACATTCACTTTTTGCACTTCTGGTTGTTGGGTATAAACAACGACCATGGTCGTCTTCTTCAGCTTCAAGTTATACATATAGCACCTCCTGAAGGTCTCATGATCATCTTGGACAACCCCAACATGCGCGTTGGGCAAAAAGTACTTCATGCACAGGTATAGTGTAGACAGGGTGACCCGTAAGAGATTAAAATCATGTTTCCCAATGATCATGTTATATAAGAAAGGGGGTGTCTATGACGAGATATCTTTCCTCCATCTCGAACATAACTTTCAAGGCGTTGTAACTTTTTATCTGCACATGATCGCTCGAGAATCCCACCAGTGAGCGTTGATAAACTTTGAGGTCGTTCAGGTCCATGCGAAGTCTCTTGAAAGCATCCAATAAAGGATGTTCATAAAACTCCGCTGATCAATCAGTACTCTCTTAATCTCCAAGTCATCACACCTCACAGTTATGACCATGATATTGTTACCATGGGGATGAATGTCAAGAATGTCCTTCTCAGAGAATTTGATCTCACACTCCCTAACTTCTTTTTTTCCTAGACTAAGGTTGGTACGTAAGCTTTCTACGTTCCAAATTTGGTGTGCATATCTTCTACAGGAAGAGTTGGTTTCTCCTCCCCTGGTGAACCCTCGTGCTATGATGTAAAGGGTGTGACACGTAATCTCGTATTCACCTTATCTACTTAGTTTCTTGCCCTACTTGGATCTAGAGCTTCTAGAAACGTCTCTCCCTTAAGATCTGAAGCTACCTGGTGATTAGGTGGAGCCACCTCGTACATATTTATTCAAGTGGCCTTCCTGGACGATAAGCTTTATCTGCTTATTGAGTTGATAATAATCTTTTATGAGGTGATCATTAACTTATGAAATTTACATCACCTATTGATTTCAGATCCCATGATGTTATGAGATAGTGGAAGAGGACTATCATGTGTGGAAAAGCTCGCGCCATATCTACTTAAGACGGAATTTTAGGAGCGTAAAGTTCTCTATAGACCTCCTACTCTGCTTGATGGTCGCCCTATCCCTGACAGGAAAAGTATAATGGCTCTTACGCGACTACTGCGAGGCATCAGAGTTATTAGATGTCCACTCCTTAACGTCCCTAGTCTTTTCTCTATGTTTTTCACCTCGACCTTTGTGCAATATTATGCGTGTGTCACCATTTTTACCATGGAAACAACATGCATATGGGCAAAGGATTCATTAAATTCCCAACCCTTAGTTCGTTATGGAAGGCTCATACGAACATCTCTTAATTCGGGTGGACGACCTTGATGGTTGTCTCATTGAACTGGGTGAAATACTCTCTTAAAGATTTTAAATGGTCTTAGAAACTGTTGAACAAATTAGTGGTTGACATCCTCCTATGAGTCGTGGCAGACTCATATACCACCTTAACACTGTGTCTCTCAAGGTACTGGAGAGGAACTTACATTTTAAAAAATATGAGGGTCCAACAATCACTATTTATGAATTAATGGACGCGACATACTTCTGAGGGCTACTTATTCCGTCGAATTTTGCGAGTGGTGGTGGCTTAAAACTTTAAGGCATATGGCTTCGTAAGATAACTTGCTGCTAATTGTATTTTTAGTTAGTATAATTTTTTTTATATTTTAATTATAAAATATAATATTTTTTAAATTTAATAGTATAAAAGTTTATTTCTTTTTATAAATAATTAAAATTTAATAAATAACATTGTATTCAAAAGTAAAATTTAGTAAATAATACAATAGTTTGTTTCATTACAAGATCAATTTTAATTTAAAAAGACACCATAAACTCCTCTCTCTCTCTCTCTCTCTATATATATATATATAGTATACAATTAAATAATATAATAAAAATTAAATTTGTTTGTTTGTTTTGAAAAGGCTAAATATATTAAATAGTAATAACTAGAATTGAAAATTCAATAGTATATTCTTTTCTAGCGATAAAAATTGGTAAATAGTATTATTGTTTTCTACTGAGATAAAAATTGGTCGGCAGATTGAGGAAAAGTAGGAGAAAATGACAGAAAACCGGGTAGGTAGCTACTAAGAGTGGCTGGAAGAAGAACGCATGGTTTGAAACTCGGTTAGGTAGATACTTACTTGGTCACATCTTCTTTCTTTCTTAACTAAAACTAAAACTATCATTCACTCTCACCTAACACCCCCAACTCTAACTCGTTGGTTTTTCTTTCTTCACCCACCAATCCTTTCACCTCCCATTTCCTCCCCTCTCCTCTCCCTTATATTTCCACATTTCCCTTTCCTCACTTTCTCTATCTTCATTTCATTTCCTTCAACAACAACTATTTACCTTTTTCTCCTTAACATGATGTTGTCAGTAGCTCCTTCTCTTGATGCCAAACAAACCCCAGAACTTGATCAGATAAATCAACAAAAACCCTCTGATTATGTTGATAATCCCATTTCCAATCAAACTAATCACATTTTTAAATCTAAGTTACCTGATATACCAATCACTAACAACCTCCCACTTCATACCTACTGCTTTGAGAAACTTCCTCAAATCGCCGATCGTCCTTGTCTTATCGTTGCTTCCACCGGAAAAATCTACACCTACGCAGAAACTTATCTCCTTTCAAGAAAAATTGCATCAGGTTTATCCAAACTCGGTATCCAAAAAGGAGACGTCATCATGATTCTCCTCCAAAACTCAGCTGAATTTGCTCTCTCATTCATCGCCGCCTCAATGATCGGAGCCGTTGCAACCACTGCTAATCCGTTCTACACCACAGCTGAGATCTTCAAACAAATAACCGCTTCCAAGACGAAGCTAATCATCACACAAGCAATGTACGTTGATAAACTCCGTCCGAACGAGGAGAACGGTGAATTTGACTTTAAGGTAATCACTATCGACGAACCGCCTGTGAATTGTTTACATTTCTCGGTGATTTCTGAAGCGAAGGAAGAAGAATTGCCGGAAGTTGAGTTCGATCCGGAAGACGCGTTGGCGCTTCCTTTTTCTTCCGGTACGACGGGATTACCTAAAGGTGTAATTCTAACGCATAAGAGTTTAACTACAAGTGTGTCTCAACAAGTCGACGGCGAGAATCCCAACCTGTATTTAACAACAGAAGATGTTCTTCTTTGCGTTCTTCCACTGTTTCACATATTTTCTCTCAACAGTGTGTTATTGTGTGCACTGAGAGCCGGGAGTGCAGTTCTGTTAATGCATAAATTCGAAATCGGGACGTTGCTTGGTCTTATACAGGAACATAAAGTGACGGTGGCGATGGTGGTTCCGCCGCTAGTTTTAGCGTTAGCGAAGAATCCGAAGGTTGCGGAATTTGACCTTAGCTCGATACGGTTGGTGCTGTCCGGAGCTGCGCCTTTAGGGAAGGAGCTCGAGGAAACTCTCCATAACAGAATTCCTCAAGCCGTTTTGGGACAGGTAACTTTTTTTTTTCTTTTAATTTAGAAAATTTTATAAATACATTAATTTCTATATATAATTTTTATTAAGATTATAAAATCAAATATGATAAATAATTTTAATATGGAGTACAGTATTATTTAGAAAAAGTTTAATGAAGATACGTAAAAATGTTTTATTCTGCTCTATTACTCTATTATAATTTAAAAAAATTTATTTTGATTTAGTTAGTGTGATACATGGTGGTGACATTTTACACCATCCATGTATTTTTTTCGTTTAAAAATATTTTCTTTAGTTTTCTTTTCTGTATAAGGTCTTTCATTTTTTTTTTTTAAAACTGCAAAAAAGGATTTTATTACGAAAGGCATAAGAGATGCCAAAGATACAACTAATACAGTGCAGAATTTGCCAAAAAAGGTCTTTCATTTTATTTGACTTTCACTTGATTTGCCACGTCAAGGTTCTTCTTTCTTCATCAAGCTTTTATTACGATCCAACTATGAATTAAACAAGTAGGCCAAATTTATTGAGGGTATTCTCGTCATTTGGAGTAGTAACCGCTAAACTATTTTATCTGGTATTTGTAACCTTGACGTGGCTTACAACAAAACCGATACAAATTTTAGTTAAACAAAACACGTTAAAATAACTTAGTTGTATATTGGAACCGTCCGATTAAAACTTACGGATGTATTGTTTTTTTTTTAACGGATTAAAACCGATCGATTGTTTATATATTATTTTTTATTTTTTAAAGTAATGAAATTACATTATTTTGGAAATAAACATTTTGGTTTCCTAAAAGAGAAAACAATATTCAATAAATGTTCTACCAATATAGTAGTACACCATTAATGTTAAATTATATGGTCACATCTTAGATGAATATGATGCAAGAAGAGAATAAACCCCTACCTACCACTTCTTTTTCTTTTGTTGGTAAAATACTTGGTCAGTTACGAAACAGCACAAGCATTGCTGTAGTCAATAGTTTTCTGCTTTTGGTCAAGCAGTTGGGGGGCATTGCTAATGGTTATAAATAGTACATATTTGATATTTATTATATTTATATAATTCATTAGAACATTGAATCTAAATCAAATGACTATTATTCTTGATCTGCATTGTTTTGTTGACTGCAATCAAACATGATCTACTAGTAATTCTCAGCATTTACTTGACGAAATAAAATGTTGTCTTGTTAAAAAATTGGAAATGGCTAAAATTATTCTTTAACTTATTTTTCTCAGCATAATTTGAAATTTTTTGGTCTTCTCCACAACTTGGATCTTTTATATAAGGCCCATTATTCTTTAACAAAATTTCCATTAATATTTGTAGCGTGTATGTGAAGTGCACTCATATTTTATTGCTTAGAGTCAAATTGGCAACGTGACATAGGAGTATGTAATTTGGGTTAGTTTATCTGGTTTAGTTTCAACCCTACCTAACAAACATGGTCAAAGTTTTACTGCCTACTACTAGTTGCCAAAATTGCAATATAATTAGTCAACTTCGACGGAACAAGAATAATCTTTCTAATTAAAATAAGTTCACTGTTAAATTGAGAGTTAATTGTATTAAGAAAAAAATTACTTTCACACATTCACAAAATAATTTAAATTAACAGAACAAATTAAGAAGGTGTATTTTTGTTCTCCAAATCAAATGTATATACCAAATACAAATTATTTTAATTTCAAAATTTATATTTAAATAACTTATGCTCAGTAAGATGTGTGAACTTAAATTAAATGTGTTACTGTAATTTTTATTTTCCTTGAATGACCTTAATTAGGACATTGAATGCTCGTGTCTTTCAGGGGTACGGTATGACAGAAGCAGGCCCAGTACTCTCCATGTCTTTGGGCTTTGCAAAGCATCCATTCCCAACAAGATCAGGCTCATGTGGCACTGTTATAAGAAATGCAGAACTCAAAGTTCTTGACCCTGAAACTGGTCTTTCTCTTGGTTATAATCAACCTGGTGAAATTTGCATCCGAGGCCAACAAATCATGAAAGGTATATAATATTTCTTCAATAGATCAAATATCGGTAGGAACAAACAAGAAGATAATTTGATGATATAATTTGTTTTTAATTATTCTCAAATTATACATATAAATATTTTAGGATATTTGAATGATGAGAATGCAACAAAGACTACTATTGATGAGGAGGGTTGGCTTCATACCGGTGATGTTGGCTATATAGATGACAATGATGAGATTTTCATAGTTGACAGGGTGAAAGAACTCATCAAATTCAAAGGCTTCCAAGTATGTATTTATTAAATTTATCAACACATTTAATAAAATTTGACTCATAAAATAAAATTGTATACAAAGGAAAGAAGAAAAACAAGTGACAACAACCAGTCATATGCTTAATTATAAATTTGTTATGTTAGGTGCCTCCTGCCGAACTTGAAGGCCTTCTCGTAAGCCATCCATCAATTGCAGACGCAGCTGTTGTTCCGTAAGCATCTTAATATATTTGAATCTTGATGTCATTGTTCATATATAAATAATAATAATAATTAATCATTGATGAAACTAAACATGTTAACAGTCAAAAAGATGTTGTTGCTGGTGAAGTTCCTGTAGCCTTTGTGGTAAGATCAAATGGAAATGATTTAACTGAAGAGGCTATAAAGGAGTTTATATCTAAACAGGTACACCTTCTCATGTTAATTATAAGAAAAATAACAGTGGATATTTGAATTACTTGAATGACATGTGGTATTTGTTGTGAACAGGTGGTGTTTTATAAAAGACTACACAAAGTTTATTTCATTCATGCAATTCCCAAGTCTCCATCAGGAAAGATATTGAGGAAAGACCTAAGAGCAAGGCTTGAAAACTCCACTCAAATGCCTTAGAAGATAGAATCTTTTTCATTCTTTTTTTTTTCTTCTTTCTTCCTAATACCTCTTCCTTATTTGTTCATTTGTATCTTTCTAGGTCTCACGCCTAATTTATGTATTTATAATCTAAGGTATAAAGTCAATCCAATAAGTAGTTTTATGTGCACACACTCCACACCACACCCTCCATTGTATTTTTAAGCCAGTCGCCTTTACTTTTCTGTGGTTCGTTGTGCTTGTAATGTGTGAATTTAAAGACATTAAAGTTACTATATATCAATCTTTGTAGCTCTTGTTCATCAATGACTTGTGTAATGTGTTGCAAATGTTGTTACTAGCTACAGTTAAGATTGGGACAGTAAATTTTCATTATATTTTGGCTTAGTCGTTCAGCCACAAGCTTAGATATATAATAAAAACAAAAGGAGTGAGATTTGATATGAATGATTATAAATACAATCGAATCTTGGTTTGGTATGCAATCAAATCGTGTACTACAAAAGGGGTTGCTTTCCCTTCATTTTCTCATTAACCGTTGCTTAAATGTTTAGAGCAAAGTTTGGAATATATAATGGTTCTAAAATAATTGTTATAGTTGATTATTTTATAAAAATTAAAAAATGTAATAAATAAAAGAAAATACTTTTTTTACCAAATTATATTTGTTTATCATTATTGTATTCGAATGATGTTAAATATAGAGTGAGAAAATAATAGATTAAAAATATTAATTATAGAACATAAATGAAAATAAACATTAAAACTATATTAGAAATTAAAATTCAACATTTATTTCGAGACAAATAATAGATAGGACAATTATTTTATTAAGGAAGCAAATACTAGAAATTAGATTCCTTATCAACTTTTGTCCGTAGGAAATAATAAGAGATTTGGACATCCATTTTTGTCCGTAGGAAATAGTAAGAGATTTGGACATCTACACTACAGGGTCAATTTTTTATTTACTTTGTCGATGTTGATGTGATTTATTTATTTGTTTTTAAAGAAATAAATCCAACCCATTTCATCAATAATAGCATTCTCAATACAACTCTCACAGGATACTTTAGAGTTTTTGACCCATTTAAAATAAAATACCCAAAATACCACGCTATGAAATAAAATGTTCATACTACCACGTTTTCTTTTTTTAGAAATAAAATATTTTATTAATAAAAAAAATATCACTAAATATAAACGGTCACATCGGATTCAACTACAAAGTCAATCATCAAAAGACTAAAAGGAAAAAACAAACCACTATCAAAATATCTATCACCCCTCAATCATTAAGATAGCTATATATTTTCTAAGTTTCTTATTATTCCATCCTCTATACACCAGTGTATCTATAATTTTCTTTCCTATTGTATTGATCTCAATCATCTCTCCAAAAATTTTGTTACTCCTACCTTTCCAAATCTCATAGATTGTCTTAGAAATTGTCATTTTTATGACGGCAGCTCGGACACTTTTTCCTTTGGTTTGCTGAATAAGCAATTTCACCTCGCTATGTCAATCTCCAGGGTTATGGTTAATTTGTGTCCATCTTAGAATCTCTTTCCATACGCTCTTCAGACTTTCACACTCAAAAAATAAATGGTTTACCGTTTCTTCCTTCGCACAGAAACAACACGTATTATTATCAATCATACCATACTTAAGCAATCTGTCCTTCGTTGCTAATCGACCATGGCAAGCAAGCCACATAATGAAATTGGCTCTCAGTCTCGCATTGTTCTCATAAACCAAAATTTCCCAACACGTGTTAATACCACATTATTTTTTTTTTTAGTGGGGTTTTTTAAATATATTTATGTCAACACCATCTAAGACATTTATAAGGTGTCTGCCATCTTGGATGAAGTCCTTTTTTTTTCATTTTAATTTTTTGAAAATTAAAAAAAATATATTTTAATTAATTTTTAATAGTTTGATTATTTAAATAGTATTTAATAATATTATATTTAATATAAAAAATTATTTTAAAAAAATAATTAACTATTTAATTTTAGACATTTAATTATTTTTTAATAAATAAAATAGAATTATTTTTTATTTTTTAATTATTGTTTTCTGCCAAATATATTTTTTAATATTATTTTATCCTCCATATGATCTTCTATAAATAGATGTGCCAAATCCACAAAAAATCATTCTATTTTTCTGTCCTTGCCTAATTGTTTCATATATTTCATATTCATGTCTGTGGCGTGTGTTATTTATTTTGAAACAGATAAACACATGAGAGTGTGTTTGAATCCACAATGGAAGTTCCGACAATTGGTTTCGGCCATCAATGCAGGATTTTGACAGTTGGGTGGTCCAATTCGATGCGTTAGGAAAATTGAATATTATTGTCCATACATTACTCTGACGGATGCAGCTCAAATGATACCTACCTTCATTACTGGGATCGGGTAGAAAATGATGTGGATGTCCAATGTATGTTTTCCGCACATAGTGGAGAAGCTAATCGAGGCTTTGAAGATCTACTCGTCTTAGCTGTTGTCGTTTAATATGTCAAGATGATTAATCATATTGTATTGTTTATGTGTTCAAACGTTATCAGAAGTTAGTGTTTTGTTGTATTAGTAATCTTGTTGTCTGTTTATTTTGCAGTCTTGGTTATGTTGTCATCGTGAATGTATTGTAACCTTATTTTATTAAGCTCAATATAAAAGTTGTTGTTGTTGGAAAATAAAATACAAGATTTTCATATGGGTTAAGGAAGATAAAATAAAATAAAACTTCTCACACAAATAACTAGAAGGTCCATACCTGTTTGGACATTTTTTGCGCATATGTCCGATTTCGCGACAAATATCGCACCTCATGTTTTCTTTTTTAATGTTGTTCATTTCAGTTCTTATCCAACTACTGTTTAGATGACCTTTCTTTTTCCTCTACATTTTGTCATTGTGGCATAGAGTGTCACCTTTGTATTGTGGCCAAGTTGTATTAGTAGGGACCCCGAGAAAGCTTTCCTCATAGACCTTAGAGACGTTAACAACTTTGAACATATTAGTTATATGCATAGTATAGTCTTGTCTAATGCTTGAACACACAACAATTGCATGTGAGCAAGGGACATGGAAAGTTTGAAATCTTCCACACTCACACGTCTGGTTTTTGAGGTCAACGTTGAAATGGTAACCGGTCTACCATCATTATAAGTCACTGATTCTTGGACAAGAAAGCAGAACCTCTAACGATCAAATTGCATAACATTCTGGCTATTTGATTTGATTACTTCTTCCTCAATACCCTTCATGTATTTATCAGTATACACTTGTCCAGAACCCAATATTTTAGTCCATTCATGTCCTCTTTTTCCAAAAAGTGTGCCCAATATGTAGTATGTTGATTTTACCAGAGCTGTAACCAGAAGGTTATGTGTGGCCTTCAAAATTGAGTTCATTGATTCAGTGAGGTTGGTGGTCATATGGCCCCATTGTTTCCCTCCATCAAACGCTCTAGCCCATTTATGTCTAGGAATATTGTCTAACCAATTTAATGCATGTATGTTAGCTTTATGTGTCTTTCCTCTGTAGTATTCGTATGTAGACTCATTTAATGCATATCCTGAGTATGAAAAAGAAAAATAGATTAGTGTATAGAAGTTATGGCTAGATGTATATACAAAGATAAGTTCAGAAAAATACACATGTTAACAACGTTTTTGTGAAGTTCCTTGTCCCTGATTTCCCTCATAAAGTTTTGTGCTATGTGCCTAATGCAAAAGATGTGTGAGGAGGGAGGGTATTGCCAACCGTTATTCGGGTTATTATAGGCGCTCTTTATCGACTCTTGTCGATCTAATATCAAGCACAGGTTGGATTACGGTGTAACGTGCCTTCTAAGATTTCTCAAGAAAAAACTCCAAGCATCACCTGTTTCACCCTCTACCAATGCAAGAGCTATTGGAAATATATTCCTATTATCGTCTTGAGCAACAACCATTAGCAAAGTTCCCATGTACTTCCATATAACCATGTACCATCTACTTGAACTACTGGTTTACAAATGCAAAACCCTTGATGCATGATCGGAAAGCCCAAAAACGACGGTGAAAATCACTAGCACCACCAATATGTGTCCCCCCGTTCGACCACACAAAAAGGGTTTCTAATTCTATTACAGTACAGGGTAGAAATGTTTTTATGACCAACAACCATTACGGGAGGTCGTTGTATGAAGTCTCCCAGTTTCCATAAATAGAAGCAATAACCTTTATCTTGGGACATTGCGATAGACGTGCAGGTGTGTGGTATGCTAACCTTGGTGATCCTCCACGTACTACTCCCCTTCTCTATGGAGGCCCTACATGTAAAGTTGCATTCTTTGTTTCCGCAAATGATTATAAATCATTTAGTATCTAACTTATAAACTTTATAGTCAAGATAATTCCTTATGTGAAACTGTCGTATGGCAAACACACAACGTTCCTTGTTTTCAAATTCCATACCAAGTAACCCACTTTGATCCGAAGTGGTTGTGTTGCTTCAAATATTGAGACATATTCATCATCTATGTATGTTAAATTTCTCATGTGGAGTGGTGGATTGTATAGGTCCAATATTTCATATTGTTGCACAACTTCAATATCATTGTTGGAGTCATCGATATCCCCGCTAAAAAGATTTTGGGTATTAACTTCGTGCACTTCTTCAATTTCACAATCTTCACCAATTTCCTCATCTGGAAAATGGTTTGTTGTAAGTGTTTGTTGGTTCTGGTGTCAACGTCAACATGGTCTCCTGGCTCATTTGATATTGGTGCAATTGTGAAGGCTGCGTCAGATACATAAGTTGTGGCGCATCATTTTGTTATAGTAAACATACATATAATTCGATCATATTCGATACAATATACGTTGTGTGACATCGGAACATCAGGTTGACATCGTTGTCGTCTTTTAATTTTATGGTGGTATATGTGACACTATTATCACCTTCGTTAAAGCATGGATAGCGATAATAAATGTCAGATATACACTGTTGAATTTTTGTTTCGATTTTTTCTCTCAAATGGCTAAAATTGGAATTGTGGCTTATTTTGAATATCTGCGTGTTTGTGTTTTGTACTCTGAAATTGTTTTGAGTCATTGGGTCTGTGATATTTCGAATTAATTGCATACAATTATATAGACATTCTGCATGCAGAAGTGAAGAAGGAAAAGCAGTGCGACAAGTCACCCATGCAAATAGGGTCTGCCGTCTGGGATGGCATAGCTTAACTGACTTTTCTGATGTGTGTTTAAGCCTTCCATCTGGGTTGGTGTGTTAGAACACGTGACCAATTTTGTGTTTGGGTCCCCCATCCCAGTTAGTAAGGCGATACACGTGGAAAAAAATATTGTAGGGGTCCGCCATTTAGGATATATAATCCATACTTTCATGCTAAATATTTTAATGGGTACGCCATCTGGGATGTTGGAGACTTTTTTACATGTTTGGTCTCATCAAGGACAGTATAAAATTAGTCATATGCATCAGAAAATGAAGAGGTTTCTGTATAGTGACTCTATTAATTGGTCTTGTATACATTGTTAAGTCAATTTCATCCAAAAATTGTGATTCTTGCAATATTGTTTCTGATCCAATATCAGAAAGACTAATGGAAACATTCAGCTTTGATGACATCAAAGCTCAGAAACATTATGTCACTGAATTGGAGAGAGAAGTTGTAGGTCTGGTCTACCGAAAACCATACGTGACTTCTAAAGGAATCCTGATGTATGTAGAAGTCAAATTTTGTAAAGATGAAGATGTACGAGACATGTTTCAAAATTATTTTAATTTCATTACAACTGGTCCTCCGGAGTTATATGTTAGATATCATAGAACAGATGATGAAATTTTATCCTTGTGCAAGAAAAATTATTAGCGTATTTTTCTTAAATGTTCTTAATTTAAATGTTCTTAAATTTTCTTAAATGTTCTTAATTATTAGGACAACAACTAATTCTCCCAACTACATTTAACCATACAATTTATTCTCACAATTAATTCTCCCAACTACATTCAACCATAAAATGTATTCTCACAACTAATTCTCCCAACTACATTCAACCATAAAATTTATTCGCACAACTAATTATCCCAACTACATTCAATTCATTTCCTCTATAAATAGCAATTTGAGAGCAATGCATTTCTCATTCCAAACTTCACTCTCTATTTTATATCTTCATTACAAATCCTCATATCTTAAATTTCTCTAGTTCTTTACAATAATGACTCAAACTCCTTTTTTTAATGGGTGAAAAACATAAGGGAACTACTCATAACATTAATTGTTTAGTAAGTATTCGTTAAGCTTTTATTTATTCTTTCTATTTACAACCTCCTTTCTTTTTCCATTTAGAATCATGTAGAATTTTTAAATCGGTTTGTTCTATTTATTTATTCTATTCATGTTACACAAATATCATTTATGTTAACCTATATATTTATTCATTTTTTTACTCTATATATTTATTATTTTGTATGGTTGTATTAGGTAGACCCGAAAGAAAATTTAGACTGAGAAACCACAAGCTACTTATTGCCCCGCCTGTAATATTACCATTATTGGAAACCGTCAGTTTCGCAAATATCTACAAATTGCAAGATGGAGACCCGAAACTCATACTTTTCACTTTTCGACAGGTGAATGTACAATAACATTGAAAGATATTAGTATGCTATTGGGTCTCCGCGTGAATGGTAGAGTAGTGGTGGGGCCTTCTGAGATTCCACTATTAGCATGGAGTAAGATTTTGGGTCAACAACACCTAATAATGTAGTTGAAGGTAGACACGTAAGTTTAAGCTGATTAAAAGATATTTAAAAAAAAATTGTTTCTGAAAATCCAACACACGAAGAACTTACTTTCTGTGTAAGAAATTATATAATATTATGCATTACGCTTACTTTGTTCCCTGATAAAGGAGCCAAACATGTTCATCCTGTTTGGATACCGTTTATTGATAACTTGGAAGAATGTGGTAGTTATAGATAGGGATCAGTTGTCTTGTCATTTCTATATAGAGAAATGTGTAAAGCATATAATGTAAATGTTAATGGATTGGGGGGTTGTGTTATTCTGCTACAAGTTTGGGGATTTACAAGGATACCATTTTTAGCACCAATTAGTTCTAACACACCAAGATACTCGTACACATCATTGTAAGTTTCTAATTATTCTTCTATCTCTATTATTTACAATTTTTAAATATTTTAATTTTCTTTTTATCTTCTATTTATTAGATAGGTTACAGACAACAAGAAGAAGAAAAATTTCTCTCGCAACCCTCTCCATTACCTCACGGTTATCATTTCAACATAGAACGTATGTCACCAAACAACGTAATATTATCACCATTACTTCTTTTTATATATTCAAATAAATATTTTACTTGAACTCATACTGACTATTCATACATTTACAGTTCATATGGAGGTCATATCTTGGATTATCACAATTACAAAATGATGATCACTTGATTTGGAATGCTACTACCCCTATCTTATGTTTATGGATTATTGAGATGCATCAGTCTGATAGGGTTAAATTGCAGTTTGGGTATCGAAAAATACTCAACCCTCTTAAATGCCTATAAGAGCAACATAACATGACCATGCAAGAGTCATGGCAGTACGCCTACACAATTTTAAATTGAGTTGAACAAAAACTTTGGGCAAACAGACACCAATTATGCTTGACTAGGTTACCATTTCAGGGAGAAATGAAGTCAACTCAAGAATATTTGAATTGGTTTCATAGCCTCTCATTTCAATACGTGTCAATTGAACAATTCTTAATTGGCCCCGTCAACGCTATCCCACACTGCAGGTGTCGAACCAACCACAATCAAATTTCCAATACCCGCAAACATAACACACACAAACATTCACATCCAACCAATTCGAACAACAAAATCATCATATTCATTCGTACCAATCCCAAACCCAACACACTTCATACCAACCACAAAACTAACCAACACAAACTCAACATACCCCAACCCATTACACATACCAAACTCCGCAACAACAACCAAACTACACCTATCAAACCCAACAACAACAATTCCACTTGTCACCACGACACCACACACCAATCCCACATTCAAACTTTGATTTCTCAAATATAAACCAACCATCATCATCCCTCGATGTGTCCGACTATTGCATTGCAACCATTGAACCTACAACCCTAAACCCCACCCAATTCTCACAAACATTTAACGGCTTTCCTCCAAATGAATTTTTTAAGAATTTCGAGCCATTTAAAATTTACCCTAACCAAACACCCGTTTTCCCAACCTCTACCTATTCGCCCACAACTTCAACCGCTTTTCCACCTAATCCAACAGAAAATTTAGGTTGTGGTTACCGAATTCAGGTTCCTGCAAGATGTGGAACTGGCAATCATTTTCTCGAAGAAAATCCGAATGAACAGAAAATTTAGTTTTTTATGGCATAATCCTATTGTAATTTAGAATTTTATATATGAGATTGTTTTTTTTCTAATTTGTCTTTTAAAAATATTTAGTATTCAATTTTATTTATAAAAAATCAATTAAAAGTCTATAATTAAATAGCTGATTAAATATTTTAAAAAATATATTTTTTTTATTAAATATAATATTATTAAGGCAAAAATATTGTCTAGGTACTTTAATTTATTTTAAAATAACAGGTTAGTCCTTTAAATTTTTTTTGTAACGATTTGGTCATTTATGTTAACAAACGTTTGCATCGTTGCCTTTTTTTAAAAATTTCGTTACAAAAATGCATGTGGTACAAACGGAGCATATATGACATTTAACTGAGATGAGTTGGCATTGAAGGTTGTTGATTTTAAATATGGAAATCTTGGAAATCACACATGTTCATCACTTTCACAAATGTTCATCATATTTAACAATATTCATGAGCAAAAATCTGGAAATCACAAAAGCAATGAAATAAATTACAAATTATATACTGTTGGACTTGAATTTTCACTCTGAATCCAAATATGCAATCAAATTTATCAAACAAGTAATGGTTCATGAGAATCAGGGAAAAAAGTGGACGAAATACATAATGAAAAATCGTTCAATCCGACCAAAATACACAATCAAACGCAAAACTAAACACATATTTGTGATCAGCACAAAAAACCAGTTCAAATGGTATGAGTTTGCAATTTATTATTGAGATTCAGAGTTTTGCCATTTTTGTGTTTATGAGCTCATGAAATGTTCATCATATTTAACAATATTCATGAGCAAAAATCTAGAAATCACAAAAGCAATGAAATAAATTAAAAATTATATACTGTTGGACTTAGATTTTCACCCTGAATCCAAATATGCAATCAAATTTATCAAACAAGTTATGGTTCATGAGAATCAGAGAAAAAAGTGGACGAAATACATAATGAAAAATGGTTTGATCCGATCAAAATACACAATCAAACACAAAACTAATTACATATTTGTGATCAGCATGAAAAACCAGTTCAAATGGTATATGAGTTTGCAATTTATTGTTGAGATTCAGAGTTTTTCCATTTTTGTGTTTATGAGCTCATGAGTGTTCTTGAAATGTATTGAGTTTTAGAGTTTTAAAATCCATAAATATAAGAAACAACAAGACAAAAGTTAAATCAACAACCTTCAATGTCAATTCATCTCAATTAAATGTCACATGTGCTCTGTTTATGCCACATATGCATTTTTGTAACATAAGTTTTTAAAAAGGGCAACAACACAAACGTTTATTAACATGAATTACCAAAGCGTTACAAAAAAACTTAAATGACTAATTTGTTATTTTAAAATAACTTAAAGGACCTAGACAATATTTTTACCTATTATTAAATAATAAAATTATATTAAAGAAAAATATTAAAATTATTTTTCAAATTTCAGAAAATTAAAACGAAAAAAAAAAAGGGGCACCATCCAAGATGGGGAACCCCTTCTAAGTGTCTGCCACGTTTGCCATTTTGGATGGCGTGGGTAGAACAAATAATAAAAAGCTCCACTAAAAGACAAAAAACGTGGCATTATGGATATTGTTTTTCTAGACAGTGACATTATGGGCATTTAATTTCAGGTTTGTGGCATGACAGACAAAATCTTGATACAGTAATGTATGGTCATGAAAATGGCAACTACAACGATGTTATTGCTAACAAGCGGGCAACATTGTTTGTTTCACTCCAAATAAAATTTAGGTAAATTATTTTCCATGGTTTTTTATATTTAGCATTCGTAATGATTTGAGTGTTTCAGTTTCTTTTGTTTTGAGCTAAATATTAATAACAAAAATGTCCTTCAAAATAATCAAATCGTTACAAATGTCAATTATAAAGGACTTTAGGAATTATTTTTTTGTTAAATATGTGATTTTTCATGTTAAGTGTGTTGTAAGATTTGATAGAGTCAAAGTCGATTGTATTTGATAGTAGTCGAAGTAGATAGTTGTCGAAGGAGTTAACATCGACGGAGTTAAACTTAACATTTATCTTGTTTTTTTAGTTAGTTAGATATTACTTGGTGTGCAAGTAATATCATCTATAAATAAGGAGGTATTCTACTATTGTAAGTAAGTAGGGAACAAGAGAAATTTAGTAAGAATAAACACAGAGAAAAACTCTGCAAAATTTGATTCATCTTCTTTCTTTTCTTCCAAAATCCTAATTTCTCTTTTATTTCCCAATTCACTCTTATAGTTTTCTTTTCTTCTCAAATCCTTATACGGTAGACTCATCTTGCAATTAATATATGATTGAATCACTCAAGTGAAAAGTGAGGAATGATAAGAACATTTAATCAAAAATATTGATTCTCGTTCAACCAAGATTGATTCAGATTATCTCCAAGATTGGAGTTAACTCCAACATATGGTATCTATAACACTGGTTATGATTCTGGGAAGCATATTGTAATAACTTCTCATCTGAACGGGAATTTTCCAATGAATCTTGCAATCTTGAATTGTAAGAATTGTGAGAATTGGTGTAAGCAGATGAAGGTTGTTTTTTATTATCAAGATCTTTGGGATATTGTAAAGAATGGAGTAGCACCAATAGGAGAGAATTCTACGGACAGACAAAAGGTTGCACACAAATATTTGAAGAAGAAATATTATAAAACTCATCAATGTGTTGATGCAAACTTGATTCTGGCAATTGTAAAACTTGTGGCAAAATGTCTAAGTTCTATCGCCATATTTGGTCTAGTAGTCACTGGGTGACTCTGGGTTACTAAAGGGAAAAAATTGTCCCTTTTTGCATAGTTGATGATGCAACCATAGTTGAAGATATGGCCATCATGATAGCAATCGAAGGGATTGACTCAGTCGACGTTGCAGTGACCGCGCCTGCCCCACTGCTATTAGAGGGTTGTTTTCCATTGTTATTTCTGGGAATAGCCATCCTCCTGACGTATTTCCTTATAGGTTTTTTAACTTCTCTCCTGGTTATCTTACCACTCCTTAGTCTCATGCACACTCACACAATGAGAACTTAATGACATGAAAAGCTTTGATATAATGTTTTTTCAAAATGAAAAGTAAAAATTCACACAAAAATGTCCCACTAGGTATGCTAATTTGTTTACTTGAAAATTTGGTAAACAAAACAAGTTTCTATTAATACTTAAGGGATTAAACTAGAAAATATCCCAGAACATATTTGTGTGAATCATAATCTTTGGACATCATGTTACTGTAAAAATTGAAACACAATGTGTAGAAGATAGTAATTTAAATTCGATTAAAATCAAAATGCAAGAGAGTTGAAAGTAAAATGACTGAAATTAAAATGTAGAATGAAAGTAAAATGACTGAAATCGAAATGCAATTCAAATGCAGAAAAACCTGAATCTAAAATACTTGAGGTTTATAAATGTGGAACGCATACGTACATTTTCTCACTCGTTTCTCAATCACACAAATACTTTGAAAGTGTAGAAATTTAAGTACAATTGTGGACCCGTACAACATAAGCAAGCGTTTCCTTATATATTATTCTATAACAACTGCCCACAATGGTCGACTAAACACGTCACAACACATTTTACTTCCATGTAACTCTTGTCTTCAACGAACTTCCATATGTCTTTGATTAACCACTTGATCTTATCCAGTTCTCGCTCTTTCTATTAAGCAAAATAACTAACTAAAACATTTGGAAATTTCACTAAGTCAACCTCCCTCGTGATCTCCACAGATACTCCTTGACCTTCAGCTACACAATTCGACCAAAATTTCCAGATCACCCATCGACATGTTAAAATCGACCTCCCTTATGATCTCGGTTTACTATGTTTTGACTTCACTCTTACCATAACATACTTATATGTCTTTACTTGCCATTTATATGTTATGTCGCAAATCCAAGGGAATATTGTCTTAACTTCTTCACCAGTATTCTCTCTCAAAGTACCTCTAGTTGAGGTATAAATGAGCATTTAGGTAGCTATTGTCAACCATATC